GTTGTGCATCGTCTATCTATGCACTACCAACGCCTCTATGATTCTCTGATTTACTCCATGCATTGTAACCTAGACTTCACACACACACACACACACACACACACACACAAAGAGTTGGTGTACATACACACAAACGTGTTACATGGCTTTGCTCCAACAACACATACATTTCTATACACTGACATTTAATAGCATGCCCAAATATCACAGTTAGACAGTTGTGCATCGTCTATCTATGCACTACCAACGCCTCTATGATTCTCTGATTTACTCCATGCATTGTAACCTAGACTTCCTTCCGAAACTATACATGATATACAAATGCTAGCTTAGAAACAGTGGCAAAGCAGCTTCAAAAAAGTGCAAAGCATTTAGAAGAAGCAGTCATTTGTTTGTCCTCATCGAGATCTCGCTCGCGCGCTGAAGGAAATGTTAGGCTTGTGTAAGTCCGGCAGAGCAGCGGTCGCTGGCGCAGAGAAACACATTCACACAAAGCGAGCCGAAAACAGCTGCTTTACAAACACAACCATTCCATTTCGTCGAACATTTCGATGATAAAGCACGTACAAAAGCATGACATACCCAAATTATGAAGGTATATGTTTTGTAAAACGCTACGTAAGTCTTTTATTTGTGCTCCGTGGTACATCTTATCGCCTCCTCTCTCCAGGAAGTGCTTTGAAATTTGGCGCGCCAGGAGCAGGACGAGTTTCCTTGCGCGAAAATCAACGCCACTTCCGTCCATGTTGTCAAGGAGACCGTCAATGGAGAACGACCATGCAAACAGTATGTAGCCATATTCTCTTTTTTCACATAATCATTGCGTTTATTTAATAACCGAAACACGGTGTAATTATTAAATGTAATATATATATATAATTTTTTTTCTTTTTTTTCTAGACATTAAAGACATAACATGCAATATTTACAACTTTAACAAGACATCCAAAAAGATAACACAGTTAAAAAGAATGGGTTTACATTACATAAGAAAAAAAAATCTATAATAATACTTAAAGAAAAAAAAAATAGTAAAAAAGACAGCATATACCCGTTCAATTTTCAAGTAACTTCACCTCTTTAGCGAATAAAATTGTATCTCTACATTTTTTGTTATCAGAGACTCAAAATACAAATGAAAATCAGTCATAAAGACCTTCAAACAGGGTTTAGAACTATTTTTATTATGAATATGAAATTTATAACATGCAACATTTACAACTTTAACAAGACATCCAAAAAGATAACACAGTTAAAAAGAATGGGTTTACATTACATAAGAAAAAAAATCTATAATAATACTTAAAGAAAAAAAAAATAATAAAAAAGACAGCATATACCCGTTCAATTTTCAAGTAACTTCACCTCTTTAGCGAATAAAATTGTATCTCTACATTTTTTGTTATCAGAGACTCAAAATACAAATGAAAATCAGTCATAAAGACCTTCAAACAGGGTTTAGAACTATTTTTATTATGAATATGAAATTTACCAAATAAAATCATTAGATTCATCATAAAATTGACAGATGCATTTTTTGATTCAAAATATAAGATGACATCTTTGGATGTTAATTCACAATTAAAACCAGATTTCTGTTGAATATATATACACAAACCCGATTCCAAAAAAGTTGGGACACTGTACAAATTGTGAATAAAAGCAGAATGCAATGATGTGGAAGTTTCAAATTTCAATATGTTATTCAGAATACAACATAGATGACATATCAAATGTTTAAACTGAGAAAATGTATCATTTTAAGGGAAAAATAAGTTGATTTTAAATTTCATGGCATCAACACATCTCAAAAAAGTTGGGACAAGGCCATGTTTACCACTGTGTGGCATCCCCTCTTCTTTTTATAACAGTCTGCAAACGTCTGGGGACTGAGGAGACAAGTTGCTCAAGTTTAGGAATAGGAATGTTGTCCCATTCTTGTCTAATACAGTAATACAGGCGCTCAACTGTGTTAGGTCTTCTTTGTCGCATCTTCCTCTTTATGATGCGCCAAATGTTTTCTATGGGTGAATGGGTGAAACTGCAGGCTGGCCATTTCAGTACCCGGATCCTTCTACGCAGCCATGATGTTGTAATTGATGCAGTATGTGGTCTGCCATTGTCATGTTGGAAAATGCAAGGTCGTCCCTGAAAGAGACGACGTCTGGATGGGAGCATATGTTGTTCTAGAACTTGGATATACCTTTCAGCATTGATGGTGCCTTTCCAGATGTGTAAGCTGCCCATGCCACACGCACTCATGCAACCCCATACCATCAGAGATGCAGGCTTCTGAACTGAGCGCTGATAACAACTTGGGTTGTCCTTGTCCTCTTTAGTCCGGATGACATGGCGTCCCAGTTTTCCAAAAAGAACTTCAAATTTTGATTCGTCTGACCACAGAACAGTTTTCCACTTTGCCACAGTCCATTTTAAATGAGCCTTGGCCCAGAGAAAACACCTGCGCTTCTGGATCATATTTAGATATGGCTTCTTTTTT